GCTTCTAGTTCTTTATCTTCAATTTCAGACAGTTGTAATCCCTCTAGACACTTCATTTTCTGAGATTTATTCTAACTCAACTGTTTCAGATGTCTGTTTACTGGTATTGGTTGGTTCTACTTCAAGCTTGTCCTTATACATCATATTTTCATCAAATGTGACATTTCTGAGTCTTAGGATCTTTCTATTGTGATCATCCCAAAATCGATAACCAAAATTATCATCACCATAGCCAATAAAGAAACATTTCTTGGCTTTAGGATCAAGCTTATCTTTATCATTAGAGTTTACATGCACATAAGTAACATAACCAAAAAATTTCAGATGTGAGAGAGTTACATCCTTTTCTGTCCATCCCTCCTCAGGAATTTCAAAATTCAGCGGTACAGAGGGTCCCCTGTTTATGAGGTAAGCTGCCGTGTTAACAGCCTCGGCCCAAAAATACTTCGGCAATCCAGAATGTATTCTCATACTTCTGGCTCGTTCATTCAGGGTTATGTTCATCCTCTCAGCAATGCCATTTTGTTTCGGTGTTCCAGGAACTGTCTTGATCATTCTGATCCTATTTTCCAAGCAGAATGCTTTGAACTCTTGACTATCATATTCTCCTCCATTATCAGACTTCAGACATTTTAAACTTTAGACTTGTCTGATTTTCAACTTCAGCTTTCCATTTTTTAAAGGTAACAAACACATCAAATTTATTTTTCAGAAAATAAACTCATACCTTTCTTGTGGAATCATCAATGAAGGTGACATAATAGCGTGAGCCTCCCAGAGAAGTCACAGGATTTGGTCCCCACACATCTGTATGTACTAGTTCCAGCTTCTCTTTCTTTGGCGTCCTTCCCGCCTTTGAGAAACTAACTCTATTTTGTTTCCCGTAAATGCAATGTTTGCACAAACCTAATTCAACATGTTTTAGGTTTGACAACTTTTTTTTGGATGCCAACAACTTTATTCCCTTCTCACTCATATGCCCGAACCTCCAGTGCCACAATATTGTATCACGACCATGATCAACTGTTGATGTAATATCTCTCTGTATTGCAGTTGCATACAGTGTTCCCTTCTTGAAGCCTCGTACCACAACCAAATTTCCTTTGGTTATCTTCGACGATCTGTTACCGAATGTTGTTGTATATCCTTCAGTGTCAATCTGAAGGAAGAACATAACCCTGAATGAACGAGCCAGAAGTATGTGAATACCAACAAGTTATGTCCTTGCAATTTTTGGATTGCCCTCTTCTCCTTGACTTTGATCTGCCACAACCATGACTCTGTCCTCTTTGGTTGGTTCTCCCCCTGCTTTCGGTATTAAAAGCAGATCTTGGGGAATCACTTGATTCTCTGCGGTGAATATCTTCGCTTAGAACCAAGTCTCTAATATCATTCAATTTGAGTTTGGTACTTCCCGATGAATTGCTAACTGCAATTATCGTTGCACACCAACTCTCCGGTAGAGATGATAGTAGAATCAATGCCCTGATTTCGTCATCAAATGTTATATTAACATATCTCAACTAAGTTAATATTATATTAAACTCAGTGATATGTTCCGTGACAGATCCACCTTCTGTTATCTTTTAGTTGAACAATCGACAAATCAATAGACTTTATTTGAAGCAGATGACTTCTCGTACATATTTGATAGTGCTTTCATCAGGCATGCTGTGGTCTTCTCGTTAATGATGTTAAACGCCACATTTCATGTTAGCGTCAAATGAATCACACCAAGAGCTTCGTGATCTAATAGATCCCAATTCGCTTTGACCATAGTCTCTGGTTTTACCTCGGTCAAAGGCAAGTGTAATTTTTTCTGGTACAAATAATTCTCTATTTGCATTTTTTAGAATTCAAAATCTTTGCCATTGAACTTGTCAATCTTAACATTCCCTTCTTCCGATGCCATTTTTCATAATTTTTTTATGTGAATAGTACCTCTGAATAGTAACGATGATCAATAGTGTCGCATTATTCTTGTGAATAATACCTGCACCAATACCGTACTTTTCTACCAGAATTACACTGTCTGTGCTCTGATACCAGTTGTTGGAAAGCGTGTCAGGCTAATAGAAGGGAAAAAATATTTAAAACAGAAAAGCAATAAATTGAACAAGACAAGATTTACGTGGTTCGGTAATTTTTGCCTACTCCATGGCCACACAAAGAATAGCTCTTTATTAATTGAATAGAAAGAATAAGTTGAGGGATAATCTGTAAATGAAAATGCAGACCCCTTTTATAGGCATTTGAATACCCTGCTGACGTAAGCGATTACATCATAAGAATGCGATGTAGGCGCTTACATCATAAGAATGCAGACGTAAGCGCTTACATCACAAGAATGTCGACGTAAGCGCTTACTTCATATTTTCATCTCTTTTTGACTTTTCTTTCTTTTATTTTGTCTATTTTTCTTTCTTTCACATACAACAACAGGTTTGTTCCTATCAATATACACCATATTTCTTGATTACCTCACTATATTTATAAATACAGTCGCGCAAATACATGAAATAAGCACAGTAGCAGCGAAATTTATGTAGAATTAATTTTGTTGAGTTAAATTATGAGTGATACACGTGAATTGATCCTCTTTCCGTTATTAAATAGCTAGATACACCCATTTTAGGCGAATTTCGCTACTTCATTCATGAATACAATAGCGCGAATACTGCGAATACAGTCGCGTAGCAGCAAAATTTATGTAGAATTGATTTTGTTGAGTTAAATTAGGAGCGATACACGCCAATTGATTCTCTTTCCATTATTAAACAGCTGGACTCCCCTATTTTTAGACGAATTTTGTTAATACAACGAATACAGTTGCGTAATAACGAAATAGTAGATATAGTAAATAATTATTTATATGGTAGCTACTGAAAGTTAATAGCCACTAAACAATAGTGTTTTCTGAAAATTCCTTATCTATAATACCCTCCAATTATATTGTGGACCACGTAGTATATTTTCAAATCGAAAAATATAAAACACATAGTACTATATATTATTACATAATTAAATTAAAAGATGAATCAAATTTTAATGTATTGTGGCGGAAAAACCTGCAATCATTCAATAAATGTGAGTAAGGTTTATTTTTCGCTTACTCACATTACAAACGGATAAATCATTTATCAAATATCGAGTTTCTGATAGCAATAGGTTATTTATCCTCTTTTTAAGAATATATCCCCATCAATGTACTCAATTATTGATTTTAAAGCAAATTGATTTTATAAAATCATTAACACCGTTAATAAATAATAGTATATAAACAATTAGTATAATTTTATTTACAGAAGAATAAAAACAAAGTGATATCATGAACTTGAAGTAAGAGCCTGCCAGTTTGGTCGTTAAGAGTTGAGACAAATATCCAAGTCCATGTTGTAACAAACAAAGAATAAACTTTAATTTAATTGGAGGGACAGTTCACTTTTTCTAAGCAATGTCCACAGGTCAAAGCTGTTTATTATTTTTCATTTGATTATGTTACACTTACCTAAACATCCACATGCTTTCAATTATCATTTTCATTGATTCTATTCACTCATCATTTAACTAGTGTATTATTCTACTTTTTCTTATCTTTAGGATTTTATTGGCTTTAATAATTTTTCTCTTTTAGCTTCTTGGCTTTAATAATTATTATCTTTTGGATTTTCTTTGCTTTAATTTTTTTTTTCTTGTCATTGCGGCATAGCCACTTATTGTATTTTTGCTCTCCTAAGAAATCATCAATAATATTGGACTTTCTTTACTAGTAGTTGAACTCTCGTCAAACAAGTAAAAATGGTTTGCTCTTCTTTTTTTCTTTTATATATATATATATATATATATATATATATATAATATATATATATATAGCAACTAAACTATCGGTTTTATAGGGATTATGTTGGATTTAGTGATGTTACTCTAACAATCAAAGTTAAACGAAAAAAATAAAGAATTCAATTTTATCATCTTAGGTATTTCAATATTTTCTCTAATTCTTTGAGCTTTTATTTTTCTTTCTTTCTACTACATCAAAAAAGTTGACAAATTCTTTCACTTATCTTTTTCTAGTACTCTTGTGCCTTACATAAAGTTAATTAAAATAGTGTCACTTTATTAAGTTCATGTCTAGTAGAAAACAATGCTTCTTAACTTGTCAAATATGACATAGCTTAAAGATACAAAAGTTAATTGTTTTGCATATTATATATTGAGGCAAGTATTTATTCCTTAGTTCAGGAAAAGTTTATTGTTGCCTATGGACAATCTTTTTTTTTTTTGGTTTTCCACCCGGTGTCCGGTTCCCGCATTGGAGCCCGACTATATCCGGATTCGCGCCGCGTAGGGCCCCATTCGGGGGAAGCGCTCCCTACAAAGGATTTTTCCATACTCAGTGCTCGAATTCGAGACCTCTAATTAAGGGAAGAGCAGTCTCATCCACTGAACCACATCGTTTTATGGAATACTATATACTGTTACTATGTACAAGAGAATATTTGACAGCAAAAGTCAGTAAGAAAAACAAAATCTTAGTGGTAAACTGAAAGAAGATACTTGCACTTTTGGTAGCTCGAGGATTCTACATTCCACATTGAAACACGAGGAGAAAAAATAAACAAAATAGATCATTACACTTTAGTCCCTCATTTTTCTGTAACATTTGATCTTGGTCATTTGTGATATTTTATTAATCGTATTTAAATTACAATCAATAAAAACATGTGCTTTGAATTTAAAAAAAATATTCAAAGTATTTTTAGAACTATATTACCATTAAAAGATAAAAATTGAAGCTAATATTCATCATTATATTACATAATTTAATCTGTATAATTTTTTCAGAAATAGAACATCAACAATAATAACAACATAGTCAATGTGATCCTATACAAGTTGGACATGCGAAAAGTAATGTGTACGTAGACCTTACCTTACTTTGTGAACGTAGAAAGATTGTTTTCGATAAACCTAAATAAATATTGGGAGGATCAAAATTTAAAATTGTCAAGATTAATAGAAGCACAATAATATTTCGTAAACAAAAAGGAAGAAAGTTGGGGCGAAAGAAAAGGAGAAGAAAGGTAGGAAATAAAGAAGCCGGCAGTGTATCATAGTCAAAAAATTTAGATCGTTCTATAACCGAAAATAAAAATAAAAAAAAAACACTTTCTTCTTTCTTTAGTTACACTTTGCTGCATAATGTTTATAGTATTTTGTTATGCATTTCTATAACCAGTGTCTTTTTTCCTTATTTTCCTCACCCACTTGGCCACTTCTTCCATTTTTTCATCTTCTTCAATTTCCTCAAACCCTAGAACTTAAAATCTATCTTAATGGGTCGTTTTATTTTCTAATATTATTATCTGGGTCGATGCTAAATTTCACATTTTTCATATCATATTCTTAGAATAAGTTCATAGCAGCAGTAAAGCAACAATTTTTAGTTTCAATACTAGTAATTTAGTTCACATTGTGGTACAATTTGCAGTGTTGGTCATTATTGTAGTTTATGGTTTGAGTTAACTCGGGTTTTCTATGGCTCGGCGACATGGGTGGCAACTACCGGCTCACTCGTTTCAGGTTCTTGCTTTTTACTTTTCTTCTACTTTGGATCACTTGTAAAGTCATAATGTTGGTGTTATTAGATCTTTTTTGGGTGTTTAAAGTGGGAGTTTTGATTTGGTGGTAGAGTAGTTTGTTGGCATTTGCTGATTGTTTCTTTAGTCAACTGCACTTTGACTCTCTTTACATTTCCTTTTTGAGTGATGCCTCAGTTACTTTTTCTTTGTAGATTTGGAATTTACATAATTTTTAGTTTTGATTTACTAAGGTATCTTCTAGTGTTTCACAATCTCAAAATAAATGCGATCTTTCACTTTGGAGAAGGAATCTGACTTGACTTACATTTAATTTTAGTTTGTTTTATCTGAAATTTTATGTTGGTTTTGGGTCTGTTCTGAATTTGGAGCAAAGGCGTTAAGTTTTAGTTTGTGGTAGAAAATTTATTTGACGGGTTTCTTTACCATTAGAGCTATTTTTTTTTTTCTGACAAGTTTCAAAATTTATGGGGATAACCCGCATTGTAACAAGGTTAGAACTTTTGTGACTGAGATCAACCTTTTGCAATAATGCATTTCTGCTTCATCAAGTTCCTTGTTAGACAAACTTTACAACTTAGTCTAAAGAGGTTTTAGCTCTGAATCACGTTCGCTGGATTGGCTAATACAACTGTCCATATGTATCCTTTTAGGTTGCTCCCCCTGATATCCTTTCTTGGCGTCCATCTGACAAAGTAAAGTAGTTTATCGGGGGTGGGGTGGGGTGGGGGATTGTGTTGATCAGCACACATTTCTTTCTTCTGTACTCATTTCCTATTCCCCAAGTCTCTGAATTCCAAGTTTCACTTTCAAGTTCTTATGGAAGGTGCAGTCTTGCTGATGATTAGTGACATCATATTTTATCAGCCTTTATGTTTAACTAATATTATCTATTGTTGTTGTGCAACTTGAAGCTTGTTTACTGATTATTCCCTGTTGCTGTGCAGGTTGTGGCTATAACAGTTTTCTTCCTGCTATCTGTTGCCTTCTATGCATTTTTTGCTCCATTTCTAGGAAAAGACATCTTTGAGTACATAGCAATTGGTGTTTATTCCTTCTTGGTGAGTGCAATAGGGATGGAATTTCTTGCTACTTTTGTTGCAAACACTCTATTCCTCTTTCAATTTCTTGTTACTTTTTGTCATCTTTTGACTTTTGCTTTCAGGCTCTGTGTGTGTTCACGCTCTATGTCAGATGCACAGCAATTGATCCTGCTGATCCTGGGATTCTCATTGAAGCTGAGAAGTCAACAGCCTATCAGTCACACAATGAAAGAGAGTTTCCTGGTTAGTTTTTGGTTGCAATATGATCCTCTTATTCAGCGTCGTTTGATAAAGTTAAGTCTTCAACAGAACTAGAACACCCTGAAGATACTCTGAATTATTCTTTTGGTTGGTAATTGAAGAATGTTTATTAGATACGAGTTGAAGATAACTAGTAAACCCTGACATTTGACCCTGTAGATATTTGAGAATACAATAAGAATACAATAGATAAAAAAGGAAAAAAAACTATCAAGTGTTATGCATGAGACTTTGTTGCTGCATCCTGTTGGGATGGAGCGGGTGAAAGATGGATCATTGGTATCTGTTTTGTAATTTAGCCATGATTTATCTTCTTTTGACATCTTGAACTGCTTGCGTTAGGTGATATATCTGCTGCTGAGGGTCCCAACAAGGAAGGGTTTCGAGATGGAGGAACGTCTGCAAGGGATGCTTCAGGTTGCTGTGGAAAACTTGGAGGGGTCCTCTGTTGTTGTTTTTTCATTGAAGACTGTCGGAAGGATGATCAATTGCTGCAGCAGAGTGGAGATGAAGAAGCTTTGTTCTGCACATTGTGTAATGCTGAGGTATACCACTTCTCATCGGCTTCTTTCTCTCTCTCTCTCTCTAACCTACCCTGCATCTATAGTATATTTTCTCCTGCAATTACATCCAAATGTTTAGATTTTTATTGGATATAGTGGACATGAATAAGGTATTCTTTCTTATGTAGGTTCGAAAGTTTAGCAAACACTGTAGAAGTTGTGACAAATGTGTTGATGGATTTGATCATCACTGCCGTGTGAGTTGAAATATGATTTGTCTTCTCCTTTAATTTTCCGTTGCTCGAAACACATTGTGTTTCACTTTGACGTGACATGATGAGTTGAATTGGAGGAATATGCTGAATTTGATTTCCATTTGAGGAGATCAAGACAAGGGTGTATATATATATATATATATATATATATATATATATATATATATAATCATCCCATGCTGTTAATTGTGTTCACTAGTTCATATACCCCTCTTGCAGTTATGTAGATTTTCTGTTATTATCATCACATTAAGTGTCATTTTGGATGTCTACTTTTTACAGTGGTTGAATAACTGTGTGGGAAGGAAAAACTATATCACGTTTGTGTGCCTGATGGCTTCCAGCCTTGTCTGGGTAAGTCACACTGAGATTCTATCATTTTAAATGCTCTTTTAAGTTTGACAAGGTATAATCATTTCTTCACCCTTCCCCTTTTCTTTATTAAGTATGTTCTTTTGCATGTCAGCTTGTCTTTGAATGCGGAGTGGGCATTGCAGTCCTAGTTAGATGCTTTGTCGATAAGAAAGCTACAGAAAATCAGATAACAGAAAGGCTCGGAGAAGGATTCTCTAGACCTCCTTTTGCTATCGTAGTGGTACGTAAGCTAGCTTGTTGCTAGCAAAAAAACTTTTCTGATTGTTGTGTTAGTATCTGGACGCTCTGTGTGTACTGCATTTTCTAATTTGTCTTTATTAGACCTTAATTTATTGGTGGGAGCTGTATGTATCCCAAACCTTTTGAAGGAAAGATATCATACATTTATGTAAGATATCGTAACATTTTATGTAGCAAGGCCCTTGAAGCAGGTCGTAAATTTGAAAGTGTGCAAATCATTGTGCCAGAATCACCATATATATGGCATATAGTGCTGCTCGGAATTTGTTCCAATAGTAGCAGCTTTATAACATATTTTGTGCCCTTTCTTGTTCTCTTTGGGTTTAATCTTTTTTCTGTTTCAGGCCCTATGTACTGCTGTATCTTTCCTTGCAACCGTGCCTTTAAGTGAATTGCTCTTTTTCCACCTTATTCTCATTCGTAAGGTATGTCTGTTCCAATCCTCTTTCCTTCTCGGTTTTTCATTTCTATATGTGCATGCTTATATATTAAAGATATTCTGGTTCTGTTGTACTGCAGGGTATTACAACATACGAGTATGTTGTTGCGATGAGATCTCAAAGCGAGCCGCCTGGACCCTCTGTAGACGGAGGTGATCAGCAGAGTTTGCCATCATCACCGACCAGTTCTGCAGTGACTGCCATCAGTGGGAGAAGTTCTGTTGGGATGAGCTTGCAACATAAAGGTGCTTGGTGTACTCCTCCAAGAATCTTCATGGACCATCAGGTTATACTTCTTTCGTGCTTCTAGTTTTGTACAAGTGACCAACAGCCGTCCATCTTAAAAAGACACCCATGGTTTACATTAACTTTAAACTCCAAACATGTCATCCGTTTCTGCTTCTTCAACAGTTTTAGTTCAGTTAGTTGTCCCTTCTCTGGTGCTTGGTTTTGCTTTTCAGCTAAAAATAAGTTTGTCATATGGAGATGACTAAGCTCATCCTTTGTACTTGAGGAAAGCAGTCGGATTATAGAACTATGATGCTAATTTCATTCCTTTAAACACCCCGTGCAGGATGAAATTATTCCTCACCTTGAGCCTGGGCGATTGCCATCAACTATTGATCCTGACGCAGTAGATAAGGACAAAAAGCTATCCCATCGTCCAGTCCGAATTAGTGCATGGAAGCTTGCGAAACTAGATTCTAATGAAGCAATCAAGGCTGGTGCCAAGGCTAGAGCTTCGTCATCTGTTCTACGTCCAGTTGGCGCCAAGCATCATCCTTACGATGCTGATCATTTGTCCAGTGGCATGAGTGGTAGAAGCAGTCCGGCAAGTACTAATCACGGATTTTATGACAGTAATAATGCTAGAGCTGGGACATCTAGGTTGTCTCCTTCCAAGAGCTCGTATCCGCCCAGCCGTGCCAGCAGGGAAGATATTGAAACATGTGGTCACAGCATGAGTAACTTAAGCAGTCCTCTTGCCACTAACCTAACCCCTTCTCCATTAGCGCTGCAGCATCACGTTTCCAATAGAGACCACTTCAATCCAATATATCAGTCATCTGCAGATCAGTCTCCTTGGTCAGCAAAGGCATGCCACGAGAACGAAACTCCTACCCCCGACAATTTATCAGGAGTAACCACAAGGAAGAACAACACGGGCACTACAGAGAATACAAAGTCATCAGTATTTTGGGATCAAGAAGCCGGGCGATTTGTTACTGCTAATACCAGGGGTGCCGGTTCTACTTCCCAAGTATCTGGAACAGAGCTTACATACACAGGTCAATCTATATTTTTCGGAGGGCCTTTACTGAACGAGAACGTGAACAGAGGGGGAAGAAGTGGTGGTACACTGTCTTCTGCTGGTCCTCAGCGAAGTTACTATCAGGGTAGGACACAAAGGGGTGGTCAGCTTCCTGTATTTGTTCCCAGTGATCCCCAGCAAAATCAATTTTCTTCACGATTACCTCGAGACTAGAATTGGATTACTTGTTTATTTTATGAAAATACAGTTAGGTGTCCATTTTCAGCTTCTCAATCTTTCCCTCGTAGCATCTACAGTTAGATTCTCCATATATCTCTCTGTCTGTTTCGTTCACGACACTCCAACTCGGAGAGAAAATAGAAATGGTGTTAATTCGATAGGCTAATTTACGATAAGATTAAAAAAGAAAAAGAAAAATGAAATTAGAGAGAAAATTTGACTTGGAAGTAATAATTGCAAGAATTAACATGGAAAAGAGTCTGTTCCAAAATGTGCATTTAGGTCGTTTATTAGGGTTGTTTGGTTGAGAAACAAGTTATCCCATGATTAATTATCCCAAAATTAGTTATCTTGAGATTAGAGCCGTCAAAATGGGCTTGACCCGTGAGGCTAGCCCAACCCAGCTCGCTACTTGGGTAGGGTTGGGCTAGAATTTTTTGAGCCCACTTAAATCGGAGGCTTATAAGCTCGACCCCATTCAGCTCGCTGGCCCTTGGTTAAAATAGCACGGTCTAGCCAGTTTTCGGACTGGTAATTCAAAAATAGCCAGCTACCAAGTCAATGAAAAATAGCCACTATTTTGCTGCAACAGAGACCGGTCCAACATAATATACTGGAGTTCGGTGCACCTGTGTATGAACTTCCAGCATATTATGCTGGAACTCCAACACACGAAAAGTTCCAGCATAATATACTGGAGATTCGAGCACTTGTGTATGAACTTCCAGCATATTATGCTGGACCATTATACTTTGCTGGAACTCCAGTATATTATGCTGGAGTTCTAGTGTACTTATGCTGGAACTCCATCATATTATGCTGGAGTTCCAGCATACTTATCCTGGAACTCCAGTATAATATGCCGGAGTTCAAATATACTTATGCTGGAACTCCAGCATAATATACTGACGTATTTTTCGGGTTTTGAACAGTGTTTTCGCTTAGATTTATCTTTACATGAAAAGTGGCCAAATTTCGATTACTTTTGAAATTGGGCTATTTTTGAACGACCACTTGCAAATCTGGCTATTTTTGAATTTCTCCCCTTGAGGCTTGACCGAGGCTGGACGTGGGCCAGCCCGTGGGCCAAAAAAATAATTAAGTTCAAATTAATTAACTATTAAATATTTAAAAAAAGTAAAAACTAAAAAAACTATTAACTATAATCCCCATTCCGCAACCCTAGATTGCTCATTGACCTTCCATATCAACTACAATTTAGATTTTTGACATGCATGTAATATGACAAAATTAGTTTTTCTTTTGCTTAATTAATAACGAACTTGAAAAGTTTTAGGTGGTCAATAATAATCTTTTTTTCAAAAGAAAATACTACTTTAAGTGGCCAACGATCAGTTTGGATAACTTTAAATATTATTAATATTTAAACTACTCTTCAATAGAAAAATATCTATTTTAAATTTAAAAAAAAAATTGACCACTAGCAAATTTCAGGAATTTTAAAAATTTTATGGACTATAATGATGAAATCAGCAAGTGATGTTAATCCTAAACTAAAAAACCACAACATATAAACTTATTGAAGCAATCCCTGAATCTGAGGAAAATGAAAGAAAAGTATTAAGACAATATTCATGTAAGAGCTAGAGATATAGAGAATTTGCATTTCAATTACGAGATTCCTCGTCAAATATCAAGTTTTTTGTACGCTCTAAGCAAACAGAAGTTGTTTACATGATTAATCAACTACGTCACGAAAAAATATATAAACATTTAAAGAAATTCTTTTTTGTAAAAAATATTGAAGGGCTGGCCCGCCCTAGCCCGCGGCCCTCTTAGGGATGGGTTGGGCTGGCTATTTTAAGGTCTATTTATATGGCGGGCCGGCCCGTCCTGCCCGTCAAATTTAAAAGCCCACGAGGCTTGGGCTGGGTTGGGCTGAGCTGGTCCGTTTTGACATCTCTATATGAGATTAGTTATCCCACCCTCCCATAGGAATAAAAAAATACTACAATCTCGGGATTGCTAATCATACCATGATTTTATCCCAATCAAATATGAGATAAAGTCATCTCAATTTAATCTCGGAATTAATTATTGCTTATCCCTCGTATAAAAATACCTGTGCACGGTCTCAATGTTTACACCAAACCATATCAGACCTAAATATTAATATGAAAAATAAGTTAGTAGTACATTTTTTTTTCTATTGCTTTATCAAAACAAAAAGATGAAAGAGGTGGCTTAGGATATTGTTATAAAGGAAATGACTCTCTCGCCCCTTAACTCCTTCAACGGCCTGTGTTTGGATAGAGCCAATCAGAATAGTTTACTTGTTGAAATCCTTTAGCCATGGCTGCAACACTGAGCATTCAAGGATCATGCCTTATCAAAAATTCTCATCACCATTCAAATTCCTCCAATGCCCAGACTGACCAGCAGCTAAAGCAGGTGTTTTTACATTTACCAATTTCTAGAAGATCTGTAATTCTTATCTCTGTGTTGCCCTTGAGCCTCAATTTGGTTCCTCAACCATCTTTGGCCAGAGAACGGCGCAATAAGAAGAACATCCCTATTGAAGATTATCAAACTAGCTGTTAGTCCCTCTTCTCAGTTTTGCATTTCTTAAACATGACTTTGAGCTTATTTGAGTCTTAATCTCAGAGTTTATCTTTGCATTGTATGCAATTTACTAAGTTCTGTAACTGATAGTCTTAAAATTGCAACTATTACAAAAATCTTATATGTACACAGTACACTAAGGTTCTGATAAAGGTGGAATTATACTGGGAAAAAAAAAATTGAGATGAAACTTGAAGTGGCTAATCATTTTGTGCTCTCTTCCTTTTTTGTACTGATGAGCTTCTAATTAGTGCTGGCAAAGATGATTTATGTACTTAACAACAAACACTTAATTTAACTCCACAACAATTCAAGGTAGAATTTTTGAATTTTGACCACAAGTACTGCTTGATACTTTGGCAAACATGTAATTTTGAGCCGAGGGTCTGTGGAAACAGCCTCTCTACCTCCACAAGGAAGGGGTAAAGTCTGCATACACATTATCCTCCCCACCGCCCACACTGTGAGATACTGGGTATGTTGTTGTAATATTATTTCTGTACCTCATCCAATGCTTTGTTGCCACGTTAGTTTCCGAAACTCTCATCCCTTTTGACATTGCTATTGAGTTTTGGACCAATCTTTTCAGGGACTAGCAAAATATATAAATCAAATCAAAATAATGTTGTAGTCAATATACGTAATAATCCAATTATTAATAAAAGAGCCTGACAATATCATGGATGAGTACATGATTATTATCTTTATTTAATGATTGCTTTTAAAGCAGCTGATGGATTGAAATACTATGATATTCTTGAAGGAAAAGGTCCTGTAGCTGAAAAGGGCTCCACTGTACAGGTTTGGTTGTCGTTCTTGTAATTTGCACACGCGTTGACTTTCAATTGAAATTGACCTATTTCTGGTTTCCCTCCCCACGCCTGCAGGTACATTTTGAATGTCTATATCGTAATATTACTGCAGTTTCAAGTCGAGAATCCAAATTGTTGGCTGGAAATCGTATAATTTCACAGGTATGTTGTGATGATTTATGACCAGGAATATCTTACTAATGGACATGTATTGATGCCCTTGGTTTACACTCGTCACTGATACATGTGTTTTTCTACTCTTTGAAGTAGCCTTATGAGTTCCAGGTTGGAGCTCCTCCAGGGAAAGAGCGGAAACGTGATTTTGTGGACAATCCAAATGGTTTATTTTCTGCTCAAGCAGCTCCAAAACCTCCAAAAGCAATGTATACAATAACTGAAGGGATGAAAGTTGGAGGAAAGGTGTGATGATGTTTCATTTTTGCCTTAGCACGTATTTTAATTCTAATTGTTTCTGTCTAGAAATTGTGCAAACTCTGATTTCTCAAAAAGAAAGTTAAACAAAAGTTGTAACATAACTAACAGCTACCTCGTTACTTGCTGCTTGTTTTATGGTCTCTTTTGCACAGAGGACTGTGATCGTTCCTCCAGAAGCTGGGTATGGCTCAAGGGGGATGAATGAGATTCCGGTATGAACCACACCTGTTTTTTACTTCTTTGTTATGTTAGTTAGCAAAGCTATTATTGTGGTTCGATTCTATTCTGAGAAATCAGGCGACCAAGCTTGATAAGTTCACTGTATTTGTTAAATGCCATTCAGTTAGAAGTGAGTTTATCTTGACAGAGTTGTTTCTGCTCAAATGCCATCAGAATCCTGGTATTCGTTCCAAGGCCTAACAACAACTTTTGCTTGCCTGTTTAGTGTAGAATCTCCAACCAAATTTCTTGACATGACCAGTTATAGTATATAGTCGTTAGAGATTAATTGAGTCTCTTGTGCCCTTATAGCCAAAGTCGGTGTAAACTTTTGTTCATTAATAGCTCCGCTCACTAAATAGGGGAAAAATAATCTATTTACAGATTAGACTATCAGATTTCAAGGAAGGCAGACATGCATGAGAGATTGAGAGAGAAGGCAATCTGCAAAATCTCCATTGTTATTCCCGATTGGAGAAGAGTGAATTAGCTTACAAAGAAAGCTCAGCTAACTACTTATATACAGACACTAACTAATATCCCATTAGTTAAGTTAGGTACTAACTTCTAATTTGTACACTTTAACCCCTAAACTTTCTACATATACAAATACTATCCTGGCTCAATACTCCCCCTCAAGCTGGAGGGTAGAAAAATATTCTTCACTCCAAGCTTGCAAAGCAAATGCTGGTGTTGTGTTCTTCCCAACCCCTTAGTCAACATGTCTGCTATTTGCTCCTTAGTATTCACATGTATAGTCTTGATGATACCAGCTTTTATCTTCTCTCTAATAAAATGGCAATCAATATCAATATGCTTCATACGTTCATGAAAGATACGATTTGCTGCGATTTGGATTGCTGCCTTGCTATCACAGAATAGAGCCACAGGCAGTTGTAACTTTACATCCAATTCACCAAGCAGACCAATGAGCCACACAATTTCTGCTGCAGTGGAAGCCATGCTCCTAAACTCAGCTTCAGCTGAACTTCTTGCCACTGTGTCCTGCTTCTTTGATTTCCAGGAAATTAAAGCATTGCCAAAGAATACGCAGTAACCAGTGACTGATCTTCTAGTTTGGAGGCATGCTCCCCAATCAGCATCACAGTATGCCTTCAGTGTCCCATCACCTGGTGATGGTAACAACAGTCCCTGCCCTGGTGCATTTTTAACATATTTGACAACTCTCTTTGCTGCATCTAAATGAGACTGTTTGGGAGAATGCATGTACTGACTTAATGTTTGTACAGCAAATGATATATCCGGCCTAGTCATTGTTAAGTACAATAATCTTCCCACTAATCTTTGGTATTCACCAGCATCCTTCAAGAGAGGATCTTGAGCACTGTCATCAGAAGAAGAAGCTAACCTGTCAAAATCAACAGAGGTCAATTTTTGGTTTACTTCTAATGGTGTGCTAGAAGGTTTGGTTCCAGCTAATCCAAGTTCTGAAATTAGCTCTAATGCATATTTACGTTGGCTCATGTATATGCCCTTTTCAGATCGAGTAAACTCAATCCCAAGAAAAAATTTCAATTCTCCAAGATCCTTCATTCTAAAACACTGCTGCAGCTTGGCCCTTGTCCTGTTAATTTCTGTAATGCTGTAAATCTGATACCATATCAGATTTCAAGGAAGGCAGACATGCATGAGAGATTGAGAGAGATGGCAATCTGCAAAATCTCCATTGTTATTCACGATTGGAGAAGAGTGAATTAACTTACAAAGAAAGCTCAGCTAACTACTTATATACAGACACTAACTAATATCCCATTAGTTAAGTTAGGTACTAACTTCTAATTTGTACACTTTAACCCCTAAACTTTCTGCATATACAAATACTATCCTGACTCAACGTAGACTACACTTCTACTAGGAGTTCTTGGCTGAATATACACAATATTTTATTTGATTTTATTGGTGTTTATCGATTATCTTCAACTCTCTTGTTTCCGAGACTTAATGAACATTCAACTTACATGGTGCAGCCAGGGGCTACATTCGACTTGAATATTGAACTTTTGGAAGTAATAAAACCAGAAGGGAAGCAATAGGTGTTGGAGTGTAGAAGATTTTTTTGCCTTTCCTTTCTTCATTGTTGTAAAAATTTGGTTGTCTTTCATATACCCCAACCTATATGAAATCTATAGCAGTTCTCGCTTGCTCTTCATGTGACTTGAACCGCAACCTATTGGTTGGAGGTGGAGAAGCGGATGCCTCGCCAACTGTGCGAATTCCTCTCGTCAACATTTTGTTAAGTTATAGCAAGTGATCATTCTTTTAGCTTTTAAAATGTAGAAGCTCAAATATTGTCCCATGATTCTTGCTTCATGTTAATTATTCAATATTTGCTGTTTGTATGTACAAGTAACTTGTTTCCCCTTTTATCTTGCTTCTTTATTTGTATGTATATTTTACAACTTCTTAACTTCCCACGTTATTGTTAGTACAATTTAGAGACACCTCAGTCTAACTTGATCGAGAGAAATCATGGTGTGTCGGGAGAGTGGAAATAAGAATAAGGGATTTATTTATTTATTTTATTCTCTCAAAAGTAAGAAGTGGCAAATAATATTTCTTCTCTTTTCTATTATTTGTTTCTCTTATGTTCTTACTGTACCGAGCAACTTTTAAGAGAAATCCTCCGTTTTTTCTCCTTAGAAAAGGTCAATTTTCATGCCTAGATAAAAAAAAACCGCTACATGCATAACATTTTTTTTTTGGGAAATTTTATTAAAGTTACAACAAATTGTACATAATGTAGGAGGGGACTTAAAGCGTTACTCCTTGAAAGATGAGATTTACAAGATTGTGATTTAATAAATAAAACATCGTAGGAGTTTAAAGTTATAAAATATAGGATACCTCTATATCTAATAAATTAGTCACTAACATTTGAGGTAGGGTAAGAATACTTTTTCACCGGATTACACTTTAATTAATTATACCATAATTTAAAATTAATTGAAATTGATTATATGGATCATTTGCATCAAATACAACTTATTCATAGACTAAGCTACATTTAGACGAGAAGAGAAATTGCAGAATTTTCTACAGTACCTCCTCGCACAAAATTAATTCGAGGTGCTGCATTTTTTTTTTTTTTTTTTTTTGAAATTGCAGAAATTTAACAGTTTATTTTCCCTGCAAAAATAAAAAATAATTTAAAAAAAACCTTAGGTCGGGAACTCGGTTTATTTACGGAGTCATCAGTTTCACATCGAAAGATCAGTCTCAGTCAGTAGAGAGCTCAACTTCGGCGATGGTCTCCTTCTCCGACTGATACTTCTCCGATCTGATAGTGTTGGGAGCAGTAGAAATTAACATAAAAGGCAAAAGGATCCGAAAATGACGACGACGACGACGTTTCGTCTCTATTTATTGTTTTCATTTTTCGTGTTATTCGCCCAATGGTCGCCTGTACTTTCCGATCTACTCATCTCCAAACTTGATCGAAAGGTACGTCTCTGATTGTTGTTCAATCTACTTTTCTTCCTTCATGTTAATGTTGAATTGTTGATCTATTACTGTATTTTTGTTAAGGTTAATTAGATTGTAGGACTAAGATCCAGTTATCGGATTTAATTTTCTAGGAAAATTTATAATTTGCTAACTACAGTTGTTTGCAAGTAGTATTGGAATGAACTAGGCAACAAAAAAGCGAAATGGTTGCAGAGGATTCATACAGCTAACCTCAATGTTGTTTGGAATCAAGACGTAGTAGTAGTTGTCGTTGCTATATACTTTTGCTTAAGTTACATTGGTATCAAGGGAGCTGAAAGTTTCAAAAAAGGAGTTTTTTTGGGGATTGGCAAACTTACTATCATTTGACAGAACCCGTGTTTCTTTTTGTTTGATTTGTGTTTGTTCTCAAGCTCAGTGCAAGTTGAATGTGGCATAGAATGTCCGGTTATATATTAGTAATGATAATTTATACCCATCTTTTTTGTGTAATTATTTTCTTAAAATGTAATGGTCAAATGCAGCTTGGATTGATATTATCTTTGATTGTCGAGGTCGTCACTTGGTTTTACCTATCATTTCATATCTTGATGCCATTTGAAAGAGAAAACCTGAGCTTTAATTAAGCTCTTGGATCTGAACTAAAATTATTTATTCAATAATGCTCACTTCTGCTTCATGTATCTTGAATTGCAGGTTGACCTGACTTCTCAAGTAGTACGCATAACTGCAACTTTGAAGGTTAGTGGTTATTGCTTGGGCTTTTTCAGGTTCTGGGATAAGTTTGTTAAAAATGTTAAATACTTCAACCCTAATTAATAGATTTAAGGGTGTTATATATTTGGGAATTTTCAATATCTGATGGTCTATAGTGATGCTTGTCTTATTTCTTATTTGTTTGTTCAGCTAGAGAATCCTGGAAACGATCAAATTTCAGAGGTTTTGTTACCATTCCCTGATCACCAGGCAAAAGATTTAGCATTTTTAGTGGCAACAACCAGTGAAGGGAAAGGGAAAACTAAAACTTCATCCAGTAGTCTACCTATTAAAGTTGTTAACCCTGAAGGCTTGCCTCCATCATTGACTTGGTATTCTGTCACCCTACCGAAGGAGCTGGGCAAGGGGCAGAGCTTGACTTTGGAAGTCAGGGCTGCATTTACGCATGCACTACGGCCATTTCCTGAGAAAATTACTCAAGCTGATATCCAGCTTCTTGTGTTTCAGGAGAGTGCCTACTACCTTTCTCCTTATGCAGTGAATGTCCAATCTCTCAGTGTTAAATTACCGGAGCCCAAAGTTGAATCATATACAAAGTTAGAGAACACCAAATTTTCAGGTTCAGAAATTAAATATGGACCTTATGAGAATCTTCCTCCTTTCTCATACTCACCAATAGCAGTACACTTTGTGAGCAATAAGCCATTCGCAGTTGCCCAGGAGTTGGTGCGAGAGATTGAAATTTCTCATTGGGGAAATGTTCAGATCACAGAGCATTACAACCTTGTCAATGCTGGTGCAACAAGCATTGGGGAGTTCTCAAGGTACTTTCATATTTCCTGATTAAGCTTAAGAATTATTGAGACCTGGAAGCCTTAATCTTCCCACTTTTAACATCACAGGCTAGAGTACCAGGCCCGGCCACATCTCAGAGGTGCATCATCATTTAGACATCTTGTTGCCAAATTGCCTCCAAGAGCCCATTCGATTTACTACAGAGATGAAATTGGCAACATATCAACATCTAATATATGGGGTGACTCGTCAAAGGTTAGAACATGACATGCTTTCTGAAGATCTCATGTAGCTTGTTTCTAGCTTTAATACTATGCTCTCTGTTTGCAGACATTACTAGAAATTGAACCTAGGTATCCAATGTTTGGTGGCTGGAGAACTTCTTTTACCATCGGCTATGGGCTTCCCCTTAAGGACTATTTGTTCCGTGCAGAGGGAAAACGTTTCCTAAATATTTCTTTTGGTTGCCCAATGGATGAGGTGGTAATTGACAACCTCGTTGTGAAGGTAATTTTTATAAGATCTGAATAAAGGCTTTAGTTCCGTATCTTTCATGGTGTGATTCAGTGTTATCACAAGAATCTAAAACATGAATTCTTTAGAAGATTATGATATTTCTTGCAACGGGCTTATGCTATAGTGTGATTGTATGGGATTCTTTGAGTGGTGGAAAAGTATGTGTTAAGTTGTATGAATCACCTCATCTCAGCTTAAGCCATGTAGAGGTGAAATTTTTTAGTTGTTTTTTAGGTTTTGTGACATTCCCTTTACGAGCAAGTTTTTTCCCCTATGGCCAAGCAAATGGAAATATTTTTTGTTAATGGGTGGCATTGAGGCACGAACCCAGGATTGCCTGGCTATGATGCTGTGCTGATTATAAGAACCACGTCATATAAGTTTAAGCTGCTGGAGAAACACCTTTACCTATTATTTTAGGTCGGCAACTGAATGCATTTTGGACCAAAAATTTGAGAAAAAGGAGAAAGAAAATGTTGGGCAGGTGTGCACTTGTGCTTGATCATTTACTGGTCGGAAGGTTAATTTTCTAAACCTTTTGCTAGAGAGAACTGGTTTTCTGCTCTTGATATGCTATAGTTAGTTTTATATGCCACCGAGAACATCTAAGGCTAAGAAGCATACATGCGGTGTTCTTATCTTTTAGAAATAAAAAGAGAAGCATACATGCAGTGTTTCGAGACACACATGAAGTATGGGCTTATCGATTTGGCAAGGCTACCAATTCTAGTCTTTGTTACAATGAGCAACTAGCCTCTTTCAGAAGAAAAGATAGGAACCACAAAAGAAAAAGAAGATCATGGCCAGTGAGTAAGCAGGGAGCACATATGCCTAGTAGAACTGACAGGTCTCTTAATTGATTGCTTAACCAATAGTGTTCTACTACATTTATTTATTTATTTTGTAATTCCTTTGGTAGGGGGGAGGGGTGAAAATTTTTCTATCTTTATTCTAGGATAACCACACTAAATAATTCATTTAGATTTCATTTTAAGCTGGAAGTAATCTGTAGAACTAGATACTTATCAAAAAGATCCACGAAGTTAGATATCTTAACTAACTGCTGTGTGTTGGGTCATTGTGTATGTCGGGTGTGTGCTAATTGCATGTAAATGCCTTGATTTTCTTTTCTTGAAAAATTCTTCATGATAACTATGGTATTGTTTTGTGGAGAACAGGTTATTCTTCCAGAAGGTTCAAAAGATATTTCTGTCTCGGTTCCTTTTTCTGTCAAAGAGTCAAGAGAGGTATGACTAAATATTAGTTATCCCCTCTGAAGTTCCTTTGTATCATAACCTTTATTCCTCTAACTTATACTTTTTATGCTTTATTTGCAGACGAAATTTTCCCATTTGGATATGATTGGCAGACCAGTATTTGCTTTGGAAAAAACCAATGCTGTGCCTGAGCATAACCAATATTTCCAGGTATACAAGTGCATCTACAATACTATTGAAAGAACTGTGTGTGAGAAGCATCGCATACAGGCCAAGCAAAGCCAAGCCCATTTTGGGCATGAGTTAACTGGCATAGAATAGTCCAGTTTGATCAACAACAACAAAGCCAGTGAAATCCCACAAGTGGGGTCAGGGGAGGGTAATATGTACGCAGACCTTACCCCCTACCTTATGAAAGTAGAGAGGTCTATCCGACCCTCGGCTCAAGAACACTGAAAAGGATGCAATAAATAAACAATAGCAAGAATAGTTCAGTTTGATCGAGCCTAAAAAATAAGGATTGGGCTTGGTTCAATCTGAAAGGTTAAGTGATGGCACTTGAGTTGAACCTGAGCTCGATTACAGTGTGATTTTACTGGCAGTAAGATCCCCTGGGGAATCTCGACTGCTGGTCTATTGTAGAACAAAAAACTAATTACAATGGGTACAG